CGTACTTATCATGTCCATTTTTTGAGGCCGTTAGAGTCTGCGAGTAAGCAGTATAAACATATCTTCCCGGTGATCGACGCTTTTACAAAATTCTGTTGGCTTTATCCTGCCGAACCAACATCCACTAAAGAAGTAATTTCAAAGTTGGGGCTTCAGAGTGCTGTATTCGGTAACCCATTGCAAATAATCGTGGTTCGGCGTTTACGTCAGAAGACTTCAAAGCATACTGTGAGGCAGAAATCATCACGATTTCAAAGTAACGACAAGTTTACCCAGAGCGAATGGGCAGGTGGAGAGGCTCAATGCGACGATTAGCAACGTTTTATCCAAGCTTGGTATTAAAGATCCATCAAAGTGGTACAAATTCGTAGACCAAGTCCAAAAAGCTGTTAATGCGACGTACACAAGAAGCACTGGTCACACTCCGTTCGAATTATTAGTAGGTACCAAAATTCGTACTAAAGAGGACCATTATATAAATCAGCTAGTTCAAGACGAAATCATGAAAGGCTTCACCGACGGCCGAGAAATAATACGTAAGCCAGCGAAAGACCAAATACTTAAAATACAAGTCAGTTGTTGACGGGACGGCGTGCGCGACGGTTACAAATTCAACTTACATATTTTACTGTCTGCTTAATTCTTTTAAAAACTTACTTGAATCAAATCATTAAATTTAACTCAATGCATAATTTCATTTTCTGAATAATAATAATAATTAATAAACGAAACCTACATTCATGATAAAGTGAACCATTCCGTTGAACGAAATTTTTCACCGGAGAAATTTTTCACCGAATAGTCATACTGAGGGCCGAACAGTTTAAGCTTTTGCTTGAATTGCGCGATTTTAAACCTAATTTGAATATATTACACACAGAAAATAAGGATTCTATAATGACATTATTTCTCAAATTAAAATTGAAAACAAATTGTATGATGAATTCACAAATATTTATTAAGTAAATGGAAATTAAAGAAAATGTAGTACATAGCAATAACTTTGGAATATATTTAGCATGAATTTACATAAACACTAATTTCATTGTTAAAGACATTTACATACATAAACCATAAATGGAAAATTACAAAATTTCTCTATCAAAATAGTTTAAAGCAAAAGATGAAAGGACAAAGACAAGTTTTAATTGCAAACAGAAATATTGTGGGATATACATAGATCTCAGATAAGCTACAAGTACTAATAGCGAAATAATTAGTGATAACGTAACGGTGCAAGTTCTATGTGCATTGTATATATGAGGCCGTGAGCGCCAGTGTACCCTAACTAACATTTCGAAAAACGTTGAGCTGCCCATTAAAATGCATTACTAGAATTAAAACGGTAATAGCCCGAGGCATGCCCTTTTAGTATTATTTTACTATATCCAATATGTAGCATCACGTAGGTGCAATGAACATTTTAGTAAAAGACCGCATTTATTTTTTATATATTAGGCATTTCATGTCACCGCGGCCACCTCTGTGCGCGAAAGTGGATGAAAGTTGAAGGGATTGAAGGTCAAGGTGACATGAGTATACGTGCAGCATATTTTGCCGAGATAACGTAGGGTATTTACACGGGACTTAAATTTTAAGATAACGTCATACGTACCTTTTTAAAGTGCTGTATCCTGGAAACCTTTTAACGAAACTTAATGAAAAAATATTATTTTTTCCGTCTTATTATGGGCTTTAATTGTACATTTTTACGTTAATGTGCAACGTATAAAAAACAAAAAAAAATTAAGTAAGCATTTGATTATAGCATTTTTAAAAATTTTTATTTTTACACAAAAACATTGTCTATAATGTCAACTTTAAGTACCCAAATGGGCGTAATGGCCTACTTATGCGTATGGACTCTAGATCGTCTAACGCTCGAGCAATATGATAAATAGACATTGAAGTTTTATGAAATTGTATATTTTTGAAAGAGAAAAGGTGTGTAAAAACAAAAACAATATGAATAAATGATATTTACTTTACTAAGGGTCTGAAATCACGAAAATCTCTTCAAGGAAATGGCACAATTGAACTTTGCTGGAAGTTCACATGGGAAATATGCTTACGACGTGATTGGAGGAAATTTTAAGAGAGTAGCAGCTAGAGCAAGTCTTCAACTCCTGATGTTACAACAAATTCGTACAGCCGAAGCCCTCTACCAATGGGCTGCTGTATGTTTGCAATGGGGTGCCTGTAAAAAATAAATGCAACTAACTTTACAGTGGACTTTATTTCGACTATGACTACGTGCCAATTACTTTAATCCTAAATTAAGCTTGTTTAAAAGGTTAAATAACACCACGTTAGGGAACTTCATATCCTTATTTAACGAATCTTTAAATCAATCAATTTGCATTTTTCTTAAATACAAGTGTACATATTAGACGAAAGGGGGTTTAATCGCCTTAACAACGATGCCAATTTTTTAAAAGTCGGTGAGTAATTTTTCTGTTTAACACAAGTTATTTTTTCCTTTTAAGTGTTTTTTCTCAAATTTTTATTCACTAGATAAACAAATATGCCTTTACAACGATACCAATTTTTTAAGAATCAGTTAGTAATATTTTTGATTAAAATATGTTTTTATACAAAAAAAGGTATTTTTCTTTAACTGTGGTTTTTTCACAAATTTTTATATACGAAGTATACAAATATGCATATCACAAGAAAGGGGGTTGAACCAGTTTTACAACGACATGAATCTTTTAAATTTTCAAGTTAAAGTTCAAAATTTTCTGAAATATTAAGTTTATAATTTTTCGAAGGTCTGACCTTTGACCGGTTATAGCACCTGTAATATAAGTTTTCACAAAAGCAGCTATATACCAATATACCATATAAATAAGAGAAAAAGGCGGACCACGTCTGTATTTTTACTTTTTTTGCTTTTTACATGCAATAATTAAAAATAATTTTTTACCAAAGGTCCAATTTCGAACTTCGAAGACCCATATCTCGATTTCGGAGGCTAACTTCGAAAAACGGAGGGCTTACTTTTTTTCTTATGACTCAATCTCTTAAAAAAAGTTAGTTTGGTCCAATTCCAAGCCGAGTGCTGTACAGTGTAATCATACCCAGCAAAAAACACGATTACCACAGAAGCGAAAGGGGAAACGAGCTAGGCGATGGGAATCGCTTACCCTTACGCTTCAAGAAGGCATTATTTTAACATGGGCATGTCATTGGCCTTAAGCGCTTACCCGCAGCATTACCTTCGCACGAAGGGAGAACGCATAGATAAACAGAATCCAGAGAAGTGAGCAAAGAATGCCTTGCCCAGAAACTAATGTAGAATGCCTAGATACATAAGTACATACTTATTTATATTAAATTGAAATCAGAAAAAATCTTAAAAGATTAAAATTAATTAAAATTTTTATAAATCAGTTTTTATAAATACATATGTATGTATTTAGGTATTTATTATTTTATTTTTACTTAAAAATCGGTATGTACATACATGCATATTTAATTAAGCTTAAAATTGTACCTCCTCACTCCAGTACTTCACTTCATTGACTGAGTTCAACTTCGCTGCAAATTGAACAAATCAAAACATGATTATAAAAATCAACAGACAAATTTCAACAAAAAGTAACGGTAAAAAATTTTTGGATATTCATTCTATTTTTCAGCTGAGTACGATGCAGCATTCTACTTTGTATTCCCCGAAATGAAGCAAAGAAGCGAAATAAAAAAAATATTGTAGGACATTTTATTTTGCATTCCCTGAAATGAAGCAAAGAAGCGAAACAAATAAAATATTGTAGGACATTCTATTTTGCATTCCCCGAAATGGAGCAAAGAAGCGAATCATGGGCGTAGCCAGGTAGGGGCAGGTAGGGGCAAATGCCCCAACCTAAGCCAAATGTCCTCGAAAAATTCTGCGTTTTTTAAGAAAAAATTAATCTTTGTCCTCGAGGACATTTGGAGAAAATGCTGAAACAACGAGGACTTTTCAAAGAGTATTCTCGCAAAAAACGAGGAGAATTTGGGAAAAAAGCGGAAAAACGCGAGTTACGTCCCCACATCACCCCAACAACAACAATAGCTAACTTCAACACCCTTCGTCATTCAACAACAACAACAACAGACAATGACACCCACATCACCCATAGCAACAGCAGCAACCAAAGCAGAACAAGAAAAGACGTTACACAGCTACAACACACAAGATACGTCACCCACATCACCCATAGCATCCCAACAACAACAACGACAACCACATCAGCCATAGCAACAGCAGCAGCCAAAGCAGATCAAGAAAAGCCGTTACACCACACATCACTGATATCTACCCTAACAACAACAACCAAGGTCGACGCAATCTTCAACTCCTTCAACACCCAAAACAAATTCAACGTCGAAGAAGATGTCGATCATTAGACGATCAACAGGTGCAGACAAACACACATAAAGCGATGTAAATTTGATAATAAACTCATTCATTCATTCATACTTCTACCACGAAGTAATTAAACAAAGTGTTTTATTAGAAGTTCAGTGGAAATATAAGTGTTAAGTGTTTATAGAAACATAACTCGCGCTCAATCGTTGACTCGAATGCCTCTACCATCGCAACGAAAAAGGTGCGGTGGGTTTCAACATCGCATTTCTATTGCAAACACGACTTTAGGTAGATATACAAGATACTTGTGAGCGCTTTTGATTTAAAAAAAATTATGGTATTGCTTGTGCACAATAATTTTTTTTGGATTTGTATTTGGGTATGGCAATATCTACACAAAAGACCAGCCATCGCAACGAAAACTTTGCGATGTTTGGGTTAAAAAAAATTATTGTGCACAAGCAATACCGTAATTTTTTTCTAAATCAAAAGGGCTCACAAGTATTTTGTATATCTACCCAAAGTCGTGTTTGCATACAACAAGTGGTAATAAAAGTGGAAGTGTGAATACTAATTGATTTTATCGTTGTCTTGTGATATCAATTTTTTCTTCGCTTTGTGAACATCAATTTTTAGTTTTTTTGTAATGGATAAAGAAAAAAAGAAAACCTCATGGGGTAAATTGTGGACAAAAAAATATCCATGGATTAAAAAGGCAAGTGAGCATTCGGCGTATTGCACATATTGCAAAACTACTTTCAGAACCGACAACAAAGGAGACGGAGCTATTACAGAACATGCTAATGGCAAAAACCATAAACTACGTGCAGGAGGAGTGCAATCATTTTTTAGTAAGTTTCTGTTTATTATATTTTGTTTTTCCAAAATTAGTTCAAAGTATAGTAATAAATCTCTTAATTGCTCCGTTCCATAAATTTCAAATTCATCAACAAAAAACTGATCCCTCGGAGCCAAGCATGCAAGAGCTGAAACCAATGACAAACCAAATCACAATAGTCCAATATATATTTCTTGACAAAGGACATGATTTTGATTGGCGTAATGTTAAAGTTTAAGATAAAGAACATAGATATTTTAAGAGAAGTGTTTCTGAAATGATTTTTATTAAGAGGACCAATAATACGATTAATAAACAGGATGATACCAAGAATTTGAATTCAATTTACGATAAATATTTGGGAATGTTTTAGATCCATTATTTTCTTTTTATTTTGAGGTTGTTGATTTTTTGGTTTGCTTACATGATAAGGTTTCGAAAGTAATTGTGGGCAGTGATTATTGTTAGTTCCGTTACAAGGCTCTTTGAATGATGACGTATTTATCGTCTTTCTAAATTTTACGCCTTTTTTCAAATCACCGACTTCAACTCCTGCACACCCGGCTCCGAGGGATCAGTCCCCTGTTGATGAATTAGTTCAAAGTGTTTTGCGATTTATACTTTTGAAATGTGCGTATATTTGTATAGAACCGGTTGCTCCTCCACTGTCGAGCCAAAGTGAAGCTGGCACGTCAAGCCAAAGTGATGCTGTCACGTCAAGTCAAAGTGAAGCTGAAGTGTCGAATCTAAGTGCGAGTGCAATGCAGATAAATGAACCTACTGATGCAATGGAAACAGAAAATTACGATGAGAATACCGATTTCACTGAAATGCACGAAACAACTAGCGAAACAACCGAAACCCACGAAGAAGATTCAATTCCAATGGATGATTCAACCATTGACACAACTGAAGTCATTTCCGAATTCGACTTGGGTCTATTTATGAACAAGCCATTATCATCAGAGCAAAGATCTCTGTTATTAAAAAGATGTTGGGTACCACCACAAGACTACGATTTTGCAGTAGACTCCGATGATTCAAAACGAAACTTTCTCCACAATTGGTTACAAGTTTATAAACCTTGGCTTGTTTATTCAAAGAAAGAAAAGGGCGCTCTTTGCTTACATTGCGTTCTATTTCATAAAACTACAGTGCAAGGCTTTTTAGGCGCATTCGTTGTTAAGTCATTCACCAAATACAAAGATATGCACGAATTGAGCAGAAATCACGCAAGAAGCAAATGGCATCAAACTTCAATGAAAGCTGCTATTGAATTTACAACTGCCAAGCCAGTGGACCTACAGATGGTAACAGGACATCAGAAGTTAATTGAAGAAAACAAGAAAATAATCCGTTCGATCATATCAAACATAATTTTTTGTGGAACAACCGATTCACCATTAAGAGGAAAAGATGAAGATTCCGGTAACATATTTCAGATTGAAATTTATCATATTTTCGTCTTTTGATAAAATTCTATAATATTTTTAGGAATATTCATGGATCTCATTCGCTTGAGAATTGAGGCCGGAGATGAATCTCTTAAAAAACACTTTGAAGAAGGACCAAAAAATGCGAAATACACCTCACCAGAAATTCAAAACGAGATAATTGCATTATGTGGCGAGGTAGTGAAAGATATGATAATTGCTGACGCTAAAAAGGCATCAGCATACAGCATTTTGGCTGATGAAACAGCAGATATATCAGGAAAAGAGCAACTGTCATTGGGTATTCGATTTTACGACAAAAGCCAAGCAAAAATACGAGAAGAATTCATGGGTTTCTCTGAACTAAATGCGATGGACGCTCCAACAATTGCAGATGAAATTGATCGCGCAGTCGTGAGCTGTGAACTTGAACCGAACAAATGCGTTGGGCAAGGGTACGATGGCTGCAGTGCTATGGCCGGAAAAGAAGGAGGCGTTCAAGCACATATCCGAAAAAAATACAAAAAAGCATTGTTTTTCCACTGCGCAAGCCACAGATTGAACCTTGTTGTTAATGATTTGAACACGGTCCCGGAAGTACGAAACACTATTGGCACCATCAAAGACATAATAAGATTTTTCCGAGAATCAGTGCTACGGCGAAAGTGTGCTCCGAACATACCCGCCCTTTGTGAAACTCGTTGGTCTCAAAAACATAAGAGCATTGCTGTTTTTAAAGAAAATTTCGTTGAGATCGTGAACGCATTACTGACTTTATCCACCGAAGGCAATGCAAAAACGCGATCAGCTGCATTTCAGCTACACTCTGCAGCAACGAAACCTGTATTTATCATATGCACTTCAATAATTGCCAAATATTCGGATATTCTTGAGCCTGTCGTGAATGGTCTTCAATCTAAAAGTCTTGACCTGCTCAAATGCAAAGACCATCTTGATAGAATATCAACTGTTATCTCTAGCCATCGAACCGCTGTAGATACCGTGATTGATGAAATTCTAGACGAGGCAAAAGAAATAGCGAAGTCGATTGATATTGAATTGGATATGCCCAGACTAACCCAACGACAGCAGCATCGTTCAAATTAACCTGCATCGAATCCAAATGCTTATTGGAAAATATCGTTGCTAATTCCGTATTTGGATTCGTTGATATCATCGCTTGCAAATCGATTCGCGTCATCCAATTTGCCTGCATTTTCACTACTCACATTGCATCCATACATTATGTTGAAAAAAAGTATTGGCGATTTGAAAGAAGACATCAAGCCATTTTCAGAATTTTATGAATTGGATCTAAGTGCAGAAATTGAATTATGGTATAACACTTGGAAAGACAAACAGCTTAGTGGAGTAGCGATGAAAAATTTGGAAGTGTGCGACGTAATCACGGAAGCGGACACCTTTTTTCCTGCTGTATCACATGCATTGGAAATATTATTGGCACTACCTTGCACGACTTGCACCGTAGAAAGGTCGTTCAGCACTTTGCGGCGTGTTAAAACCTGGCTAAGATCAACCATGGGCGAAAATCGACTAAATGGTAAAGTTTTAGAAAATTAATTTGATTAATTTCATATGATAACGATGTTTTTATTTTTTTCGGGACTATGCATGCTCAGTGTGCATCGGAAAATGGTAAAGGAAAGAAAAACCGAAATAGTAGATGAAGTCCTCAGGAAATTTGCTGAAAATCCCAGAAAATTGGTTTTATAAAACGCGAAATCAATGGTAAAAATTTATAAAATCAATTTGATTCGTTTCATATACTAACGATGTTTCTCTATTTTGAGAAACCAAAAAATGATACTTTTAAAGTATCTCTCAATATTCTAGTCAATAAATATGTCCTACTTTTTTTTCAAAAAAATGTCCTCGTTTTTTCATTGATTTTTGAGAAATTGTCCTCGAAAAAAGACCTAAAAAAATTCCTGGCTACGCCCATGAAGCGAATTAAAAAAAATATTGTAAGACATTCTACTTTGCATTCCCCGAAATGAAACAAAGAAGCGAAATAAATAAAATATTGTAGGACATTCTACTTTGCATTACCGGCAATGCCCAAAATAAGCGAAACAATTCGAAGGCATTATAACGCTATGCCTTATAGAACACGTTACCACTAAACGCGATTACCGATTTTTTGCTGGGTAGCTACTTCCAGATATTCAGTTGGCACTACTTGGAACAGCAAGCTGTAATAATCACCGTCAATTTATATTGTCTTCGACACTTCTCCCATCGGCCTAAAACTGCATTTTTTACCAAAGCCAGTCAACAGGATATTTGAGTTAAAAAGCGCTGTCTCTTTCTATGACTTATATAAGTCAAATGATATTATACTCACTTTGCTACCCGTGTCGAACAAAGATTTGCAAGTTAAGCCATCAATGCAAATTTGCTTGCCCATAATATCGTCCTTAGCACTCACCGTGTTTACACTTTTCGCGATATTGTTAGATTTTTTTGACACACAATCTTTTGCTATGGGTGCCGAATCGCTGACACTCAAAGCTTTTCGTACCCTTTTCTTTTTTATCGCAGTTTACTGATTTGTGCCCTTTTCCGCCACAGTTCAAACACATAATGTCTCGTTTGATATTTTTGTCACTTTCTTTTTTGTCATTTTCTTTTTTATGCAATTTTTTCGATACCATTGGCTTGCTTTTTTCGCGTATAAGTTCGTAGCATTTCAGTTTTTCTTTAAATTCTTTCACATTCTTCGCGCCGTACAAAATCGTTTTGTTTATATTTAGATCTGCTATACCGTCAATCACGAATTGAGTAAGCGCGCACTCTTAAATATTGCCACGCGAAGCTATTTCCTTAAAAAAGTACTCTTGCACACTTTCAGTTTCTTTCATTGTTCTAGCTACAAGCAATTTATGCAGTTGTGCACTATTTGTCACTGATTTAAATTCATCAAATAAACTTTTCTCCAGTTTTGCCCACGAAGTTATGACTCTTATGACACCTCTCCTGTGCCATCAAATGTTCTCACTGAATCCTCGATTTTTGAGCTTGCAACTTCGAATGCATCGTCTTTGCCTGCGTAGTCGCCGTCGTAGCTCAGGGCCTGCGCACATCAAGCGTCCCTTTTGAAGGTTAAAGCATAAAATGTTGCATATTGACGCTAGATCGTTGGCGCTAAGATTTTCGTCCACGTATTTCGATTTTTTTAAATATGCATCATCGTTGGCATCAAATAAAACACACTCAATTTGTCTACATCGTTGACGGTTAGCTCGGTCACTGTCGTGCTCGAACACGAATTTATGTAACGCCATGATAGATTCTTTTCTGCTTCGCTTCAAATTTTCGCGAATGCTTCCAAACGCACCTAGCGCTGCCATTTTACCGAACCGCACAAACACGCACACACGTACCAGTCAATTTTATTTTTATGGACGAGCCCCCATAATGTAGGTTTCGTTTACTAATTATTATTATTATTCAGATTAAATTTAATGATCTTGATTCAAGTAAGTTTTTAAAAGAATTAAGCAGACAATAAAATATGTAAGTTGAATAATACATTAAACGGCAATTAAATTAGCAACATTTTTCTAATATACAAAAATTATGGGAATCCGCATACGTCTGCACAATATCTTTCAGCCGAGCATCGTAGTAGCGATACTTCTTTCTCTTGACTGGACCTTCTGCACCAGTGTCACCCAAAACAAACGTGGCCTCGCCCAGGCCTTGCTCCTCTTTCAATAAATTGATGAACCTCCACAATGACACATGTCCAAGAACTAATCAGTGTGGAAATTTTCAAATACCAACAAAACTGGCGAAGCGCATCTTAAGAGAGCCCAGCCAGAGGCAAACGAATTTTAACAGAGCCCAGCCTGAGGCAAAATAAATTTAACAGAAATTGTCTCATCAAAGTAAATGAATGTTTTTCTTGTTAGACAACGAAAATCTGACGGCTATTTGCGTTTTTGTTCTTTAAATTGGCTAATTACTTAAAATAAATGCATGCATAGAAGTCGAAATTATTCTTACTATATGTATATGTACATATTATATCCATTCATATGTATGCGAGAGATACAATTTTGTGAATCTAAAAAGTTATGCAAATATGTACGCAATTGGCAAATTCGTTGGTGATTTGCCGTCGGCATTTGAGTTGGAAAATCGACTTTTACTTTTTTACCGATTCATATGGCAGATGCTACGCTATTTTCAATGCAACAAACCGCAGTTTTCTTGCTGCCTTAGTTTTTTCCCAAATTCACTTTAAAGATGGACACATTCACCAAAAAACGCAAATGCGCACTCTTTGGTGACTTGCGGTCGGCATTTAAAAGCGAAGAAAAATCGGTTTTTATATTTTTAACGATTCTAATGGTAGTTTATGCGCTATTTTCAATGCAACAAACACGCAGTTTTCTAGCTGCCTTAGTTTTCTCACAAATCCACTTCGAAGATGAATACATTGACAAAAAACGTACAAATGCATTCATTTCATTCATTCATTTTTCACTGCTATACTCGTATTATATGTAAATAATGGGGTATATTCATAGTTCAAATAAAGTCGACTCTAAAGTACAGCTTTTTCACATCATTTTCAGTGGAATGGGTATCTGTGAAAAAAGCTGCAACTACCGTTCGTCTTATTTGGGTCTGACAAATTTTAACCTAGAGTCGACTTTATTTGGTCTACGAATATGCCCCAATTGTTTAGGAGTCAAATGAAAATGCATTTCCCATGCATATGTATGTACATACTCCATTAATTGTTAATGGTTTTACATTTATAATAATAAATATTTAATATATATGTACCTATGTATGTATGTGCATATTTCTGCCAAAATACTACGAACATGGATATATCCGAGGCGGGCATTTTTTGATTTTCCAAACACATGTAATATGGGCTTCAAAATGCTGCTTGCTGCCACATCGACACATGTATACTATCATCGTCTTCGTGCGTCTTACGATAATTGCCCTGCAGTACGGGGGAGCGACTACAGGTCTGATGAATCGGTAGCTACCTACTCTATTAACCCGTGGTAGTGCACATGGTAGTGCAGAGTCGAACCAGTCGTAAACAGTATAGCGAAAAACTATGGCAGAGGGCGCCCATAAATTACGCAAGTGACTACGTTAGTAACTCCCGGTAGTGCAGAGAGAGCCGATGGTAACTACCGCCTAGGACATTGCCTTTGTAAAAGTAATCGATGAAATACACTGCAAGTAGTCGGTCGGTAATTCACGGAGTTTATCAGGTAGCTACCGATTCAGCAGTCCTGTAGTCGCTCCCCCGTACTGCAGGATATGTACAACTCACATGCGCACATAATTACACGCATACTCGAATACAACATTAACTATTTCATTCATAAACGCATTCGCATATTTCTCAAGGTCAAGATCATTCATTCATAAATACTACAGCAGCACATCTCCCCGCAAATTCATCACCATCAAGCGCAACTTTGTCAATCCTATTCTAAAATGTAAAATTGAAGAAATTTCGGCCAGCCAAGTGAAAAGTGGCACGTATTTCTCTGTATCCAGTAAAATAAGTTAACTCGACTTTTGGTAATTTTTGGAAAACACTCTATTTCTCTGTTGCATACCAATATTTCA